GTGTTCCTGGTGTGGGGAGGGCGGGGGGTCCGAGTGAGGCTCTGGCCGCAGGTGACCGCGGGAATGGGCATCGCCGCTGCCCAGTGCTGAGCGGAGGAGCCGAGAGCCTGCGGCAGGGGACACCTGGCTCCCCCTGGGCTGGTGCCCGTCCCGGGGGTCGAGGTGGAGGGTGGGGAGCGGGGCTCACACCGCTGAGGGCCGGGAGGGAGTAAAGCCCCCTAGGGGACGGGCTGCCTGACCCACCTGCGATGGAGCGAGGCGGCTCTTCACTTCGTTGGGGGGACCCCCCAGCCCTCCCGGAAACGCCTGAGAGCCTGGCCCTCCCCAGACCCAGGTCCCGTCCGGGCAGATGCGCCCCCTTGCCGGGGCCTGGCGGCCCTGACCCTGAGGGGCGCAGCCAGGGGTCTGGCGAGCGGAGAAACCCACCTGTCAAAGAAGGTGGCGAGCAGCCTCCTCAGCAGCACCTTGTGCTTCACCCCGGCACAGAGGTGGCAGTTCATCAGCTGGCCGCGCGTGATGTAGACGCCGGAGCCTGCGGCCGCCAGACAGAACACAGTGAGGCCCCGGCCTTCCCGGGGGCTGCTGGGCCAGACAGGGCAGCGGGGACCCTCCTGGCTGGTGAGAGCAGGGTCCCAGGACCCGCCACCCAGCAGGCGCCGCCCAGGCCTGGGCCCCGCAGAGCGAGGACTGTCGCTCCAGGCTGGCCTTGCTGCGCGGAGGCCCTGTCACCACAGGAGGCAGGCTTGGTGGCATGCTCGAAGGCTGTCCCCAACTACCCTTCCAGCTTCGAGAGAGCTCCCTGGTTCCTCTGGGGGTCAGGGGACACTCTGTCCTTCCTCAAGGTCCCCTCCCAAACACCGAAGAGCCACAGGCAGTGACGGGGAGCCGGGCGGGGGCTCCCCCTGGCTTCTCCTTGGGCTGCGCTGGGGGAACCGCCGGCTGAGGGCCGTGGGGTGACCACCGAGCCCACGTGGTGCCATTTACTCCGAGAAGCCTGGCAGGCCCGGGCGCCCCACCAGGCCGCCAGCAAAGGGTTGAGATACCAGCAGGGGGGACCCCGGGAGCTGGGGGATGCCTGTGCCCACACCGGACGTCGAAGGCCACGTGGGCACTGCCGGCCTCGGGGGTCTCGGGGCGGCCCCATCTCGCCTGGCCTTTCCCTGTGACCGAGTGTCCCAGCACGTTCGCACCTCCCCATCAGGAGGGGACGGGCAGGGCAGAAGGGCCACACAGGGCCCTGCTCCTCCGGGACACCTGGCCCTGGCCGCAGGGAGCCTTTCCTAGCTCAGCGATGAGCCCCATGAGCCAAGGCCCCAGGGGGAGCGGCAGCCAGGGCTTCGAGAGGCTCATGGCTGACTGGAGGGGACCCAGCGGGGCGTCTGGTCAGCGGCATCAAACGGTTTCCGGCCTCCTGTCCACCCAGGTCATACCTGCAAAGCCTAAACTCGACAGCAGAGCAGGTCGCCCTGGGCCACCGGGCAGGACACCCCCTCACTGTGGGGAGCTCTATAAAGGGGGCCTGGGGCCTGGCAGGGCCTGGCAACCCAACATCCAGCTGGGGACCGGGTGGGGACAGGGCAGGTGGCGAGCCCTCGCCTGCTCCGACCCCAAACATCAGTAGAAGGCTGCGGGAAGGCAGGGTCCTCCTCCACGGCGTCCCCTGGGGCCCTGCCCCCCGAAAGCCCTCAGCTGGAACCCACCGCCAGGGCCAATCATAGTCCATCATGCCCCACACGGGCCCCTCCCGAACGCGGGCCCCAGGTCCCGCCCAGGACAGCGGTGGCGGCAGGGGTGGGGGTCCAGGGCATAGCCTGGTGCGCCCCTGCCCCACCCCGGCCTGGCCGGACCAGCCTCACGGCCCAGCTGCTGCCCCGTGCGCTGGATGGCGAGCTCGCCCTCCTCAGCCGGCAGGGAGCTGCCCTCGGCACCGGAGCTTCCCAGCTGAGGCGGCAGGGCGGGCAGAACCCCATGATGCTGCTGGGGCTGCAGTGGTTGGGGGTGCGAGACAGGAGTGGGGGCCCCGGCGGCTGGCACAGAACCCCTGAGGAGCGGGAGGAGCCCAGCTGCTGCCCCGTGCGCTGGACGGCGAGGTCGCCCTCCTCAGCCAGCCGGGAGCTGCCCTCGGCACCGGAGCTTCCCAGCTGAGGCGGCAGGGTGGGCAGAACCCCATGATGCTGCTGGGGCTGCAGTGGTTGGGGGTGCGAGACAGGAGTGGGGGCCCCGGCGGCTGGCACAGAACCCCTGAGGAGCGGGAGGAGGGAGGCGCCCACGGGCCTGGCCAGCCTGTGTGAGGGGCCCCGCGGGCGAGCGAGAGGCCCCTGGAAAACGCTCCCTGTCCACCAGCTTGGGTGACAGTGCCACTGAGTTCCAGCTTCCCCTCAAACAGCCTCAAAAATCTAAAAACGGTCCCAACGCCGCCCAGATAAACACTCCGCCAAAGGCGCCGGCCCTGACGCAGCCGACTCAGTCCCGTTGCTTTTACGGAAGAGCCGCCTCGGACCGCGAGCCGCGGTGCGGAACTGCAGGTCGTCGCCCCGCAGACGTGGCCATCGGACACTTGGGGGGAGCCGTGGGGGCTCGTAAGCTGTATCCGACTTGGTTTTATTGTCGGTCTAAATTAAAACACAACCGTGACGGCCGCCTCTGCCAATCAGAAGCGAGATCAGCCCAGGGGATTCAATTAAAATGCTAAATTAATTCGATGGAATAACTCCTCTTAACGACACGTCCTTCTAGAAGGAAATTAGAGGAGATATGAGATGGCCAGGCTTCCTCTCTGACTGGCTGGTGACAACTGCGCTGCTCACAGCCCCGGGGAGCAAATCGGCCAGAGGGCGGGGCGAGGCCTCACCTGCCACCAGCTCCAGCTTCTCACCGGGGTCGCCCTCCGAGTAGAGCTTGGGGTGGCAGCGGTACCCGATCTGGCTGATGAGGCTGGCGGGCAGGGCCACGAGGTCGCGACGGATGAGGACGCAGGAGCGGCTCTCCAGCGGCACCGGCTCGGGCTTCTCTTGCACTGTGGACATAGAACCGACCCGGTCAGGCGCCCCGGCCACACCCACACCCGGCCCGCTGGCCCTGCCCTCTGCGGGGAGGCCCAGTGAACCGGCGAGCAGAGGAAGCCAGGCGAGGGACGCCCGCCCAGGCCCGGGAACAAGTCGCTGAGGGCCCCAGAGGCACCTGGGAGGCATCCAGCAGGCAGAGGCCTGCGGGCCAGGCGGGCGTGAGGGCTTGGGGAGTGGGTGGAGCAGGTGTACAGGTGGGGGTGCAGCCCCCCGTGAGTGGACGCTTCCCCAGAGGCCGCACCAGGCCGAGGGGCGGCTCTGAGGATATCTGCTAACACTCAAGCAGGCGGCCGCACAGCCGGGTGGGCACGATGGGCGTTGTCCCTGACGAACTACTGCTGGGGACAGCCAGGGACCCCTGGGGCAGCCGGGCCTGCAGCTCCGGTGTGGGAAGGGACGGCGAGGGCCCCCTGGCTTCCCCGAGCCATGCTGGCCACAAGTGGCAGGCCGGACATCAAGCAGAGAACCGCCCCATCCCTGCCCTGCCCGCCTGACCTCGGCCTGGCCTGCCCACTGCCCATCTGACCGCCCACCTCAGCCTGCCCTGCCCATGGACCCTCGGGTGTCCCTCCTGTGGCCGGGTGGGGGCTCCCCTCTGCTGCTCACAGAGGCCCCGAGTCTGTCGGGCACCTGCTGGGCACCCACCACACCTGCTGCTGGACCGGGTGCTGGGGGCCAATGCTCCCACCAGGCTCCGCGCCCCGAGGCTCCTCAAGCAGGCGCCCCAGTCCTGCCCCACGCCCCCCGCCTCCCACAGCCAGCCCGCCCTCTGCAGGCGTGGAGAGGCCTGCACGGAGCAGGGGTCCGGGGCACAGGCCCCCCGCACACTGCGCACGGCATCAGTCTGCCACTCTCCGCCCGCCCGGACAGAAGCAGGGGCGCCGCCTCCCTCATCCCTGCGTCCCCACCACGCGGGTGACTCTGGGTCACCTCCCGGGAGGGCCACCTGCTCCTGGCCAGCTGTCACCACCGAGGACACGGGGCAGGCTCTGCCACACACCTGGCTGAGCAGCGAGGCCGCCCCTCCCTCACCCACGGCGCCACAGGCAGGGTCTGCGTGGGGGAAAGGCCCCTGGGCAGGAGATGGCCTGCAGAACCTTCCAGGACTCGGGTGCCCGGAGAGCAGGGCCGGGGTGGGACCTGCTCGCCAAGCACGATAGGGCAGGTACGCCCGGCCCCTCGGCCTGGCCAGGGCCCCTGTCCCCTCTGCTCCGGGACGCCCTCCTTAGGGGGTCCAGCAGAGGCACCTGAGCCCGAGGGTGGGGGAGGCCGGGTGGGAGAGGGACCCGGGGAACCGAGTGGGGGCCTCAGGAGGGAGGGTGGCGAGGATCGGTCCTGGGCAGACGCTCTCCCGTCCCCTGCCCCCCAAGACTTCCAGAACCTGGGGCAGCCTGGGTGCGAATTAGCCCCAAATTATCTTCGTACCAAGTTCTTGCAGGAGAGGAGGAGGACCGCCCAGCCTCTGGAAGCCAACACCCCAAAAATCCTAGGGGAGTCCCTCGGACCAACCCGCTGCTCTAGCCCCCACTCCTGGGACCCCCAGGCCACCCCTGCGCCCTGTGCCCTGGGCTTAGCCCCTTCACAGGGAGGTACCCGCTTGTCTGTGCAGGGACAAGGGACAGGGGCTGGCACGCTGTGGCTCCGGCCTGGCTGCAGCCCAACTCCAGGCCAAAGGAGGGCGCTCACTCCAGTTAGCAGAGCCCGCGGCACAGATCCGGTCAGAGGGGGCCACCGGGGGGGCAGCGTTTCCCACCAGGCACGTTGGGGGGACGCAGCAGGTGGGGGAGTCACACAGAGCAACGGAGCACTCTCCCGAACGCGGGGCCCCGGGCTCTGGAGGGAGCAGAGGGAAGTCGCCCGATGGCATTTTAAAAGCGACCGCCCATCCCCCACCCCGCCCCACCCCCGCCCGCGGTGGTCACAGTCACGACGGGCAGCCTGGCATCTACAGAGCGCTCGCTGGACCCGCCACCCCTCGTCCCGCACTTTCCGTAAACAGCACAAGGTGTGTGCACCCCACAGGCCCCCCAGCCTGGCCGTCTGACCCCCCCTAGAGCCAGAGCCGTGAGAACAAGCCCAGAGCCTCCTATTCCTGCTTCGCAGTGTGGACGGTCACCAGCCAAACACTCCTGAGCCCGAGGGGGCATCCCATCTGGACTGCGCTTGGAGCTGCCCCTTGCCCAGCCCCGGGTGTAGGGGTGACAACAAGCTCTGGAAACCACAGAGCTCTTGCTGGGCACAGTGACAGGGCCATCCTCAGGTCCCCGGTGGGCTTCGGACGGGTCATTCCAGCCAGATCGCAGGGTGGTGGGGGCCCCTTGGTGGGCTGGGGGGCCATCTGCAGACTCCGCACATCACGCAGAGGTCCCCCAGGTGCGGGGCACTCGGTGGCCTCCTGCCGCCCCAGGCCCAGCCACCGTGGCAGAGCCGCCACCTTCGCCATCAACGACCCCGTTCTCAACTGGCCCAGCCTGGTTCCAGGCACGTGGGCTCCCCCGTTTGGCGCCGTGAAGTGTGCAGAGGAACGTGCGAGGGGGCCACAGGTGGGATCTCGCTCCCCGCGTGGGAACCGTGCGTCACGGCCACAAAGGTCCCAGTGGAAGAATCCGGAACGACGGCTCATCTGGGCAAAGGGCGGCAGCGTCACAGGCAGGCAAGGAGGTCACGCTGGCCGAAGAAAACAGAAGTGTGGTCGTGGGCCACGTGGGCGGGCCCTCCGGGGGCTCGGACTGGGGTCCCGGACTGGGGTCCCGAAGGGGTTCCCGTGCGCCTTCAGGCCCCGCTGCTCTCGCCTTGGGGACCCTGCACGAGTCCAACCAGCACAGGAGGACCGGGGCTGAGGACGTCACGCCGAGAGAGGGACCAGTCACGGAAGGACGCATCCCATGGGACCCCCACTCACGGGAGGTCCCCAAGGAGTCAGATCCACAGACAGGAAGTAGACGGTGGGGCCAGGGCGGGGGGAGGGGCTGGGGGTGAGAGTTTAATGGGGACAAAGTTTCCAGTTGGGAAGATGAGAAAGTCCTGGAGAGGGAGGATGGTGGCGATGGCCACGCACAGTGTGACTGTGCCCGATGCCACCGAGCTGTGTGCTCACCCTGGTGGAGACGGTCAACGTTATGTGCATTTTACCACAATTAAAACATTTTTTAAGGAACGAACAGAAGGAGCGACGGGTGCTGAGGTGTGGAGGGGACCCGGGAGGGTCACGCCGGCCTCCGTCCGGGCACCTTCTCAGCCTCCTAAGAGTCACTGACTCCGAATCTGAAGAAAGGCACGGACTCCGTCCCCACGCAACACAGCAGGGCCCCGGCCTAGAGGGCATCGCCGTGCAGGGGCCCCAACGGGGAGCGCGTCCCCGACCCCAGGTGCCTGGCGTGTCCCCAGGGAATCACGCAGGTGGCACCCTCGAGACGGCACAGGCAGCCCTACCCTCGGGAGCCCCCATCAACACGAGTGGCCGCCAGCAGGTGACCGAGCCGCGCTGCTCAGGCCGCCGGGGAGCCCTACTAAGGTTGGGTGGGGACAGGGCACGGGGGACAGAGGAGGGGACAGCCATTCCGCGAAAGTATATGGCGTTTGTTAAAATGGCAGAAGAAAATGAACCCCTAGTCGTTAATTATATAGAAAAACACAACTCAAACCAAGTAGAAAGAAAAACGCTGAATCACACTGTCTAATTTTAAGACCCACTATCTGCGTTAGTAACCAAGCCCGTGTGCCCGGGCGCACGGAGAGCGTGTGGCCCAGGAATAGACCCACACGAGTACGCTCAGCTGATCTGTGACAAAGGAGCACACGTCATGCAATGGAGGGGCGACCGCCTGTTCGACAAATGGTGCCGAGTAACTGGTCACACACGGGCAAAAGACAAACAAAAACGGCCTCGATCTAAAGCTCGCGCCTTACGTGAAAACGGACAAAAATGGGTCGTCGACCCGAATGTAAGACTCAAAACTGTAAAAGTTTAAGAGGAAAACAGAATAAACATCTGTGTCATCTCGCGTTTGGCTAAAAGTGTAGACATGACCCCAAAAGCACAACCCATAAAACGATTAGTTGATAAACGAGACGTCATTGAAATGAAAAACGCCCATCTGCAGAAGATGGAAAGGCGGACGGGCCTCAGACGGGAGGGCAGGTCTGCGGGTCGTGTGTGCGGTACAGGACGCGCATTGAAAACACGCGCCACCCTCTCCAGACGCGACGGAAGCCGACGAACAGCCCCGATGTGAAAACGGGCAAAGGTCTGGACAGACACTTTACCGGGGACGGTCCAGATGGCAAGTTAGCAGGCGCGAAGCTGCTCCACAGCATCGGCCGCTAGAAAAATGCCAGCTCCAGCCACGCAGAGGTTCCCTGTCGCATGCATGGGAAAGGCTGACCCTGAAAACCTGCAGGCGCCCAGCGCTGGTGGCCACGTGCGGCGGCCAGCCCCCTGCCCTGGCAGGTGAGGGCGGCTGGCCTGTCCACGTCTTAGGAGATTAAACACACACTGAGCACAGGGCCCAGCGACCCCACGGCCGGGAACTTACGCGGGACAGAAACGAGCTCTGTCTACAAATGCCCCAAACTGGAAACAGCCCCAGGGTCCTGCAGCAAGGGACCAACCGGGAACCATCCTCTCGGTGGATCACGGCCCAGCCTGCAGAGGACAGATTGGGGCTTCCAGGGGCGGGGTGTGGGGGGTGACGGGACAGCACGGAGGAGTCTTGGGGTGACGGAATTGCTCTGTACTGCGAATGCCCAGGCCACACGGGTGGACGATCTCAGCCATCTCTGCAGCTGCCAGCTCAGCGCCAAGTCCACTGGCAGTTCTGAAAGGCCACACCCGTGAAGGACGTCCCTCCACCCGAACACAACCGTCAGCATCCCGGAACGCTGCAGGTGGCGGTTCCCGCAGGCGCACGCGGGCGGGTGGGAGGTGCAGGGTGGGGGTCGTCACAGTCAC